TGTCACCAGACAGAAGAGTCTGGACAGCAAGAACTTCCCACTGAGCCAGTTCCCAGTGGCCGCACCACAGGGCTGGGGCTTGGCGACCCTTTGGGACCCTGGGTGGTCCCACCAGCAACCTCAGACCGGGTGCACGTCCGGGCCATTCCCACCCCGGGCTCCCTACCCCGCCACTGCCACCGCACTCCCTGCTTCCAGGTCTCTGCAGTGGCCTGCCATCTTTGGAATGTGCTTTTGTTATCCATTTCTGCGGTCCTCTCCCAGCCGCTGGGACAGCACTTCTGCGCAGTGGGTGCTCCCCGGGCGCCCAGCAGCTTAGAGAGGGGCATCGTGGAGCCTCTCTCTGCAGCTCCAGCGGGAAAGCACAAAAAAACCACTCGGGAGGACAACGTAGTTTGGATTCTGCCCAGAAGTGGGCATTAGGTGTCCACACCGGTGCTCAGACTAGAACGACATGGAGGGAAAGAGCCCTGTCTGGTCAAACCGATGTGCTTGGCGTTTCCGTCCACTGCCCCTTCCCAACACGCACCAGCTCGTCCTTTGCGACATGTGCCAGGGGCAGCGGCAGAGCACACACCCTGCACACTGCAATCCTGGGAATGCAATGATGACACTTAAACTGGAAAACTCAAGACTGTTTACGTGGAAACGGTATGCAAATCGTATGCAGGCGACATTGTAACACATGCCTAATGACGTTTCTAGGGGAAAAATCCTAATGGGTTTGCTTGGTGGTTTCAGTGCATTGCTAAAGTGTGGCTTATTGTTTTTAAGGTGAGCAGGAATGTGACACACATTGAAATAAGCTATTTTTAACCTATAGAAGTGCTCTAGGAGGAGTACTGAATAGGTCTTAAACAGTATTGTAGATACTAAGGCAAATAAAAGACATTTATTTTGTGTGTTTGATTTATTCCTGCCTTATAGGGCAATTTCTATTAAGTTGGAACTGGTTTAAGGACCTCCAAATGTTAATTGTGGAGCCATTTTCTTAAAGCTCAGAAAAGCAAATGACCTATAAATGAGTTCAAGGAAAGTCAACATCTGGAGGTGCAGCATTTGGGAAAATCATCCTAGTTGCCATTTGAAGTCTTTCAGTAGGTAAGATTGGTAATTAGGGGAAAGTACAAGTTTATTGGAATAAGACTGAAGAAACAGTAATAACTAGAAAGTACTTGAAATTGCAGTTTGAAGCCAGTTTTCCTTCTTTGTCCTTAGCAAAGGAGAGGAATGACAATAGGAGCAATTCTAGGCAGGAGCAGATGGAAGAAAATTCTCCAAGTGTTCTATTGTTTCTCCTTTGAACAGGATGGAACATTGTGTTTCTGATTTAGAATAAAACGAAGGGACTAATGAACTGAATTCCCATACACGCAGTGCTTGTTTATGGGGACCTGAATTCAGGCCAGGCAAGGCCATGGCTTCTGCCTCCTACCACACTGCCCAGAAATGGAAGGCAGCCTCGGGGACCCACTTGCACATTTCCTCCTCAGTCTCAAGGGGACACTAGGCAGGGCCTCCAGACCGATTTGTGACATTGGTGTGGACTTATGTGCCATCTTTATGCTGGTTCACGCCCTCACGAGGTTGGCACAGCCACCATCACACCTACACCGTGTGTTTGAGGCCCCATGCGGGTGACCCAAAGCCAAGCACAGTGGCCAGCTCTTTGCTGGTGTTTCCTAAACACGGTTGAATGAACAGACGTGGGGAATGAGGTGGGTGCGGAGTTAGAGCTGGATGCTTGCTCCCTGTCAATAGCCCAAACTGCATCCACTAGATGTAATTCCTCCGTTCACTTACTGCCCAGCGCAACAGGTTTGCCAAACTAAGTCTGAGCTTTGTAGTAATTTTGGTACTGGTTGGGGTGAGGATTAGAAAATCAAAAAAACTTTAGAATCATCTTTCAAATACTCAGCAGTAAGAATCAGTTCGTGACAGATGAATGACAATAGTGAAATAAAACAAAGTTTCCATAGACTAATTTGCATAGTGAGTTGAGGGATGCATTGAAAGAAAAATGAAATTCAGTGGCAAGGAATGAGAAAAGCCTATTTTCTCTACCATTACTGTATCTTTTCCTCCTACAGTAGATGTTTCCCTAAGAGTTTTCCATTTGAAAAGGTACTTTTTTTCTTTTAAGAGATGGGCTCTCACTATGTTGCCTAAGCTGGACTTGAACCCCTGGGCTCAAGTGATCCTCCCGTCTCAGCCTCCAGAATAGCTGGGACTACAGGTGTGTGCTACCTCGCCCAGCTTAATAAAGTTACTTTTGCTGTGTTCCCAATTATTTTCATTCCAACCGCCCTTAGTTCTTAATTTATAACAATGACAACAACACTCACACATAAATAAGGCTCTACTATTTACAAATTACTTTAAATACATTACCAGATTTGATCTTTGTAGAGGTAGGTAGGACAGATACCACAACCCCACACTTTACAGAAATTCTATCTTCTGATATGTGTCAAGGACGAATTCAAAATACCCTTTGATGAGTGTTCACATGATCAAACGGGAATTATTTTTTCCTCCTCAATGGGCCCTATGCCAGCAGGGAGTAGATTCTCAGGTTCAAAACATACAACAGATGCTTTTTGTTTTGCTTTTTAAACCATGGATAATGGGGAATTGGGAATTGAATGGACATCGGAGATAGACTATATGGACAGGACAGCCATATGATTCTGGTGATACATCTTAATATTTCTGCATGTCAGCATCCCATGGAAAAACAGTGCCCATGACAGGAATCAACCAGCTGTCATCAGTTACACCACCTTGCAGAGCAGAAACCGCTACAGCTGCAACAAACAATACTATACAAAGCAGTCAGCGTCTCCGCTGTACTTAACAGTGGCGCAGGAAGGCTGCTTTCCATCAGGTGTCTAGGAAAATACAGTAATAAGAAACTTCCTAAGTTTTGTTTCTTCTTAGAGAGTGGAGGAAGGATAAAGAACGGACAGGAGTCAAGCCCATTTCCACCCAAAGTCTAACTCACCAGCAGGTGGCGCTGAGTCAAAAGCGATCAAGAGAAACTCGGTCGGCCGGGCTGGGTCTCCCGACGCCCGGCCCGGGTGTGCCCGTCCAAGCTGGTCCTGGGGAGCGGCCGCCGTGCGCAGGAGGCTTGAGGGCACGCACAGGGCAGCATGCGGCCGACCCGACACCAGCTAACTTCTATAGGCTCGGTTGGGAGCGTTTACTCTGCTCGCACGGCTGTAGGCTCGCCAGGGCTTCTCAGCGTCTGCTCGTCTCCCCGCCCCCTCCCAATTCTCGGACGTCCCAGCAGGAAGCAGAAACAGCAGGCAGGCGTGCCCTTCACCCTGACACTCACCCTGCAGATACCATGGCTTCAGGGACCTTCAAATATTAAGCACTGCCATATTCAGAAAGCACTTTACAGTTCTATAAGCAGCTTTCTGTTACTATTAGATGCTGTTTTGGCAAGCAGAAATGAAAACTCTTTGGAAAATAACTAGAGAGGCTCCTATGCAAGAGCTTGGAGACCTGTTAGTAAGTCTGTGCCTCTCTGGTTACTCACCATGTGCTTCACTGAATGATCGTCCTGTCTTCACGCCCTATTTCCCACAAGCTCCCAAAGGGCAAAGTCTCATGCGGAATCTCCACAGTAGCTTATATGTAGCCTGTGCACAAGGGGACTCAATGATGTACCAAGCACTGCCTGCGCTGGGGGACTTAGGAAAACACTAATTCCAAGTCTAGCATTCCTTTTTCCCATATCAGAGTAAGAGCTGGGAAATGAGGCAAATCTCTGCATGAGACCTTCTCAGTCCAGGGGCTGCCCCTGGCAGTGGAGCTACTGCAGGGCCCCTTATGGAATCCCAGAAGCAAAGGTTGCCTCTGATGACCACACGTGGGTTCTGCCCCCCAAGAGTGAGCTGCAGCAGGAGATATCCATACCGATAGGCTGGTCGGTGCCACCCACAGTGACAGCTGAACCCTGCCCAGAGGGGAATTTAAGAACTGGGGGGAGGGGGGGGAGAATTAAACACTGGTGTGAAAACCCAGAGCTGTCCAGCCTGCTCCGACCCATATGGAGTGGAGCAGACAAGGAAGGTGAGGGGGGCTGGTTGAGTACAGCTGGGGCAGGGGTCCCGAGACTGTCTGGCTTCCAGCCTAAGACAGAGCACTCTGCTTGCACTTGGGGAATTCAGCGCCCTTGGTTACTGGGTCCCTCACTGGGCTGAGATGAGCAGATTCTTCTTCCTTAGCAATCTCCAAAGAGCACCATGTGCAAGTTGCCCCACAGGGATATTAAGTATGGTCATTACCACAACAAAGCCAGTCCACTGGCTGCCTTGTGAGCGACAGAGAGCCCACCAAGTCTACAAGGTAAGAACTATGAGCTGCCAGCCACTGAACTAGCAATGCAAGGGCAGGCCTGGAAAAGAAATACAGGTCTATATAGAAAGTTGGTCCATGTGAGATGAAGACCAACAGTATCGTCTACACGCGTAGGGTGGGAGGTGTGGGTGGGAGGACCAGTCTGTAGATGGCTGGGTCAGTTAGGAGTACTGGCTTTCTTATGTGTGCCCTACTATGCCTATATCATATCCGCTAGTGTTGCGGAGTGAGCCAACAAGCTCTTCATTTTTCCACTGTTCAAATAAAAGGAATGTTAACCTGTTTATGTGATCCATGGGCCCCTGGGAAAATTGAAAATGAACTTGGCTTTGTGGGAGAAGTTTTCTAAGGATCTCCTCTATGCAGCCTCTATCTATTCCCCTTTTAACATCTACCCTACATCATAATAATTACAAAGGCTGTAAGACCAGCTATTTATACTGTTAGCCATAAAGTTAATTTCACTACCTCACTCAATGTCGGTTAACTTGTTGGATATTTTTCCCTTCTAAAAGTATATTCAAGTCAGAAGTATCTGATAACCCCAACATTCCATCCATTCAGTCCAAACCCAAGCTGGTGATTGTCTGCAAGACACATCTGGCTGCTGAGACAAAAGCAGATGGGTCCAATACTTGTAAATTTTGTATTTATTATAACAAAAATTATGACATGTCCATTTGTGCATTCTGCTTTAATATAACTCTGGGTATGTAAATGGTCTAATGGAACGCTATACAATCATGCTGATTGTGGCAGCAGTAAGGAACACAATTAAAAAGTGTCTGCAGAGTCAGGACGCTGGGGACAGGGGAGGAGGAAAGCGGGTTCAGGGCCTTGTGTGTGCGGGTTCTTGTCCCGCAGCCTACGATCCGCCGCCTTTGGACAGAACCCCCCAGCTGCTCAGCCTCTTCATTCGATGAAGAGAGGTGTATTGTGAGGTGGGGGTGAGCAGGGGGCTCCTCAAAGGGGAGGAGAAAAGACAGTTATTTAGGCTGTGTCCTTGTGCCGAGACTACAAAACATTTTAAGCATCACTATACAACACTGAGCTATTTACAATAGAAATTTCTCAATCAACTGTTCTCTCAGAGAAAATTAGTGAATCCCAGTGACTTAAGTCACCTGACAGAGTAAAGCAACTCCTAGGAGTTAGTCTCCATATTCTACAAATGTCTATCATTTTCAAGACAAAAAAAAAAAGGCCTCCCCCCCACGAAATACAGAATTACAATATTAATAAATCATTTAGCAATGGCAACTGCCCTGCCTTCCAAACAAAAAGCCATTTTAAAAAATATTACATTATCATTAACTGTTTCTCTGTAATATATTAAACCTTTTCTTCTTTGTCTTTACATATCTGATATGTTAGGGGAAGAAGTTAACAAATTTAAATCATATTGGTAAAAGCATCACTAGAAGAAAAGCAGTATTTAAAAAAATAACCAACAGAAAGAGAACCTACAGATTAGCTGCAAAGACAGGTTGGGGGCAGTGTCTGGGATAAGGACGTGGAGTAAAACCCCTGGTTTAATGTGAGCCTGGGAGACTCTTGCAACTCAGTCTTTCCTGGTTAGTTTATTGTGTAAATATCGCCCAGACCGGGTCATAGTGGTGTGTCGTAATAGTCCGGCAGCTGGTCCACCTGATAGTGCCGCTGTGGCGGTGGCTGCTGGAGCTGGGGCTGGGGATGGGGCTGCGGCTGCTGCTGCTGCTGCTGCTGCTGTTCCTGGTGATGTTTCATGATTTCTTTGACTTCCTCTTCTAGCTCCGGGGGGATGATAAACTGATCATCAGGATCCGGCTGAGCTGGGGCAGCAAAATAGCCTCCCGGCTTTCGAAGAGGTGCGTCTGTAGCCACCTCTATCACGTTGTGGCTCCTTTCCTGGGGTGCGACAGAGCCATTAGCCCTCCGGCGCCCAATGGTCCCCACTGCAGAAAAGTCTGCCTTCCTGGGCAGGCCTAGCTCATCCTCGTTGGCGCTGATGACGATGCCCTCATCGCTGGCCTCGGCTGGCACCTGAAGCAGGTGCTGCTGTTTCTCCTTCTCCTTGGCCCGGCTACAGTGGATGTCCACTTCCACCTCCACCCGGCTGCCGTTGATGAACACACCCTCAATGGGTTCTTCGTCATCACTGTCAAGGCCATTGTCGGAGAAGGCGCTAGAGAACGTGGCGCTGGACAGCTGGCGCTGGAAGGAGTTGGACAGGCAGACGGGGTGGAGCATGCAGCGCTGCTCGCTGGGGCAGGCGGGGCTGCTCTCATTCAGGGCCCCCGACGGGGGCTCGTCGGAGGCTGTGGACCCTACCTCGCTGCTCATCTCGGAAGTGGAGAGCTCGCTGCTGATCTCGGAAGCCATGCCGCTGCTGGAGGACGGCACGCCCAGCCCGTCGGAGGGCCGGTCCTTGATCACCATGTTGACCGAGGGCGGGAAGATGCCCGGACTGGGTGGTGGCACGCTCCCGCCGGCGCTGAGCTCGCAGCAGCAGAAGCTGTCCTCGGTGACACTGAGCTGCACCACCACAGCGCTGATGCTGTCGTGGCAGCCGTAGCTCTGGGCCAGGGTGCACAGCTTCTTGGCAGCCGCCAGGGCATCAGGCACGTTGCGCACGGCCTCCACAGCCTCCTCGACGGACAGGCTGTCCCACAGCCCCTTACTGCCCAGGATGAAGAACTCGTCCTGGGGGGTCAGGAGCACAGACTGCACGTGGGGACGCGGCACCACACTGGGGTGGAGGAAAGTGTAGCCCAGGATGCGCGTGGACTCGGTCACTCCATTCACCTTGCCGTCCTGGAAGAAGAAGGGATTCCAGAGTTAACACAGAGCACCTGAAGCGACTGTAAAGCTTCCCTCTGGGCAACCCGACTGGGGACCACAGGGACAGTGCTTTGTGGCCCACAGGGGGAAGACGTAAGCAGTCACCGTGTACCCTTCATCAGAAACCACAGGGGTAGTGAGCCTGGTAAGCAGCAGTCCGGACACAAGGAAAAGATTTTGGCTATTCGCTTTGGTGGCACCATGTTCATACCAGGTAGGTAGCAAGTTCTGTCACTTCTCTAAAGCAAGCCATTTAGGCCATGGTTGAGTAGCTCCTCCTGTAAACCCAGGAAGAGCCTTTCGGAAATAAGCCAGTCCTGAGCAAAGACACACAAGGCAGACAGTTTTCAAGATAACGCCCCCAAATCTTACATTCCTCTCCGACAGTGCATCAAGGAGTGGCTGCTGTGTGTGAAGGTCCGGAAGGGACCTGAAGGGGACAGACACTGAAAGCACTTAAATGGTGGAGAAAATCCTGGTGTGACTAGCTGGGTAAGAATGTCCATGTGTGGAGAGGCAGATGCTAAAGGAGAAGCGCCAATTCTTATTCTTAGAATTTCCTTGAACTTCATTTCCTGGTGGCAAATGGAGAAGGCAAAGTCAACTGGCTTTCATTCAGCTGGGCTCATGCCATTTAAATCAGCAGCCGAAGTTCCAGACCATTTGCCAGCAATGAGACCTGAATTTTTATTTTTCCCCTGTGTACCTGCTCGGTTCTTTCTTCTTCAAGCCTGGGGTTCTCAGGTCCATCACGTGCCTCTGTGTGCACCTGGCTTCACACCTCCTTCCAGAGAAGGCTCCACTATGACAAATGCAACTTTGTGTGCGTCTAGGAAGAGCAACCGCTTCTTCCAGAGAATACCTACTTCCTTTCTAATCCTACCACCTTCCTTTCTTTGGGATTTTGCAAGGTGCTTGCTTGTTCTAGGGAGGCCTTTCCCGACTCCTCACGTAACTTCGCCACACTCACAAGCAGGCCACTTTCCTAGAAGTAAAATTGGTAAGATGGGGCTTCCAGCAGCATTTTAGACTCCCTTGATTGTAATGGTGCAATCTGTCCCCCAAGCGTGAACTTTGGCAAAAACTACTCTTGCTGTGCTGCTCTCTCCTTTAGGTGTCTGTCCGTTAGAACCACTGGTTTTGTGCATTTGTGTGTGTGCCTCCAGGGTGTGCCTCAAGAAACAAAGCAAAACCTCACTGTTGAGTATTCAGCGATGCAGACAAAAGTGAAGAGAACACAGAAAACAAGAGAAGTCTGACGTACAAATTGTGATTCACTTACGTAGCAGAAATCACTAACCTTCTAATCATGTTGACATAACTCTAGGCTTTTAATTCAATACATTCTATACCGTATGAGACTGCCTGCTCCCTGACATAGAGTTCACTGTAACTCTCTCTGCTGCTAGAATATGCAGAGAGCTAAAGTTTATACACAGACTCATTTCCAGTGCCCAATGGTCCCCATGGTATATCTTGAGCCCTTCTGTATCTTTCTTTCTTATTACTCTTACCAAAGCATCCAGAATCAGTCTTTTTTTCTACTGGACTAGAAACTGTCACCAGAGTCTACTGTGAACTACATGTGGCTCTGTGGGTTTTTATCAATAATACGAGACTGGAAACTTCTTGAAGGCGGGTGTGTATCTGTAGGCATCACTGATGTGTCCCACATCATTTTTTCAGGACACTGCAGGAGATCGACATTGTATGATGAATTAGTGAATGGAGGAGAACTCCTGGAAGACATTACAGAAATTTTGCTGGTGATGGGTCTTGTCACAATGTTGCAGACTCACTCCAGGGTTTCTCAACAGCAGCGCTATTGACATTTTGGGCCAGGTAAGTCTTTTGTGGGAACTGCCCTGTGCATTGCAGGGAGTTCAGCAGCTTCCCTGGCCTCTACCCACTACATGCCAGTAGCACTCTCCACCCCAGCTGTGATAATCCAAAATGTCTCTGTATGGTGCCAAATGGCCTGTGGGGGTAACCACTCACTGCATTACTCAAATGGAATATGAGGTGTGAACATTTACACAGACACTTCTAGTTTATAGTTACACCAGCCCTCTAAGATAAGGCAGATACATTGTCATTCCTACTTTACAGATGAGAAAACTGAGGCTTAGAGAGGTTTTAAAGGTCACAGCCTATAGTAGCAGGGCTAAGGTATGAAAACCAGTTTGGGGTAGACCCCTCAACCACTAACCCCGTGGCCACGAGGGTCAGTGCAGTCAAGCATGTTCTCCTGTTCTACACAGTGCAATGTTCAGACATCCCAGGCCAGGAGTCTGCTTTGTGACATGGATTTGGACTTCTCATTTTAAACCAACTTCAAAAATATTCCTTGAAGGCAGACGTTTCCTAGCTGGTTTCTGCCGTGCCCTGGTCCTCTCCTCGCCACCTCCCTGAGGAAAATCCCTTTCCTCACCTCAGTGATGATGGCCTTGTGCTGTTTAATTCTCTTCAGTTCTTCTTCGCAGCTCATGACGTAAGATCTGGACAGAGGCAGCGGTTTTCCATTTCGACAGAGAACTGTTTGGCACTTGCCCACATTAGCAGAGGTCAAGGTGAAGGATCCTCCTGGGTCCACAGGGTCATGCTTGATGTGACAAAGGACAGCAGCACCTCCAAGCTTTTGCCCAGCAGTTCCAAGTTTCCTGGAACCGGAAGAAAGGGGGTGAAAACTCGAATGCAACCGCGTCACACGCCAGTTTTATTAACTCCACAGGAAGACTGCACCACGGGATGGCCAGGAGGGAGGCAGAACCTGGGACTCAACCCAGCCTCTTTCGTCAGAGCACACAGTGCTCAGCTTCTCACAGGAAAAGAGCCCCTGGAACCGGACATCACAAACACCCACACTGAGTGGCATCTGCTCACAACTGGGAGACAGTGTCACTTTACCAATAAAAGCCACAGGAGCCCCGGGACTGCTGTGTCCAGCCTGCTACCCCCTGTCACTCACTGTGCCCTATCAGCACACTCCAAAGGCAGCAAGGAAATGACCATTGCTTCCTCCATCCACCTCTCAGCTCCCTCTGCCCCCAGGAGAGGAACACTGAAGGGACCGTGTACACAAGAGCAGGTATGAACACACTGCCCCCGCCGACAGACACACTCAGAATAACCTGACCACTCCTCCCCTTGTATAGGGACGTTTGCTGATAGGAGCCTTTAAGTATTGGACTGTTTGTGTTCTTACCCTAAACAATGAAACTTTCCAGATCAGAACTATCTATTCCAGGACATTCACAAAAAGGACATTCTAGTAATCAAACACCAAAGGCTTGTGATTTATCCTTTCATTCATGACATTAATCCATAGATTTACTGAATATATGAAGCACCTGCAAGTTGTGAAAATCAAAAGGAGTAAAGAGCTCCCATCACAAGCCCCAGAAATGGTGACACCTCCCCAGCCCCAGCTGTGCCTGCGTGATGACAGAAAAACAGCCTCCCTGGTTTTACAAGCTGACCCTCAGGTACTGTCAGCTCCAATCAGGTGTCCAAGGTAAGCAAGTGGCAAGAGCAGCAATGGAGACCAGGGCTGCCTACGTGTACGCATTAGGAGGTCACTCACAGAGAGCACATGGGCCCGCTAAGGACCATAAAGCTCATCACACATCTGTACCGTTAACACACGGTGAAGCTAAGAGGCTTAGCAAAGCCCCTGGAGATGGGCCTACAGTTTGGGTGTCTAAACTCCAGCTTCCAGTGTTCATGACCAGATTTGGCTCTAGGCTCTTCTGAGGTAGCTCTACATTCTTCCTTTCATAGGCATAATGATTTATAAAAAGTATAGCTAGTAAACAGAGTTTGGGTTTCTCAGTTTTTGTTATCCAGAGCTTAAGGGTCCATAAGAAGTACACCTCTTAGGGGTTGCAAAGGGTGTGTGTGTGTGTGTGTGTGTGTGTAGTGTGTGCACATGCCTGTGTCTGTGCGTGTGATACATGTTCGCTTTTCCTCTAGGACGAGGTGATCAAAACAGAAAGCTGATGTGCATGGTAGTTAGAACATTCTTTGGAGCCTCACTGCCCAAGGTCAAATCCTGGCTGCGCCAACTACTGGCTCTTAGGGCACTTTGCTTCACCTCTCTGCACCTCAGTTCCTCACCAGTAGAATAAGAATAACAACAATACCTAACTGGTAAAAATTTATGACGTAAGGTATTCAGAACAATGACTGGTACGTATTAAGGGCTCGCTCAGTATTAGCTATTATCATTGTTCCATTGCTAATCGTACGTGCTCACTGAGAATCTGAAAGACAGAGGGAGTCTAGCAGGAAGGACCACACTGGGCCTGCCTCTACTGAGCTCTTTGGGAGGAACCATCCCTGACTAGGTAAAACTCCAAACACTGCTCCAAACAGTATCCGCAGCAGACACTACTCCACCCCTGTTACAAAGCTGCTCGCTTTGACAGATTATCCAGGGAGAGAAAGAGAGAACATCGCTGCTCCCATGACTTTTAGAGCACTAGTACACTTGTCACTTCTGGGTCCCACATGAGCGAGAGTCCGTAGTACAATATTTATAAATAGGCATTTCTTTTACAACCTATAAAGCCATTAAGGTGTCATAAATGAACAGATCTTTGAATAAGGAAATCCTTCTAACACTCAGCTTTAAGAGTTATTACAAACAACATTCCACAATTTTCACAGTGGCCTGTAAAGCTCTGTTGCAAGTGGAAGCTCCAGGCAAAGGCCTAGGATTCTGCTAGTAACACTGCTGTAAACATTTAATAAGGGGGGAAGACATCATAGAAAGAATGATTGAACTCCTGGCCTAAAATCTGACTATTTCAATTTCATAAAGGTTTGCACTATCTCAAACCAGTGACAGTATTTCATAAGGATCACCAAGTAGAAACAGTACATTTCAAAAAGCAGTCCACTTACTGGAAGGTCTAAAAAGCCTCTGGGAAGCCTCTGGGGATCACATGATTTGGGAAGAAGGAGGGTATTGCAAATGACCTGGTGAAAATCTGGAATCACTACAGACCTGTGCAGTCCAGTTCTCGGAGAAACTAAATCCCTGTCACTGACTTAGGCTTCTCCAAAGTCATCTGAACACGAGTATGTCTCGACTAAGGCCTAGCCCAGCCCCAGGGTTTAGGTAACACCAAACTCACCAGAACGCACCTTGATACCCACATTCAAAAACAGTCACAGACATCACTGGGCACCTACTTTTCTAACCAGAGTGCAAACACCCAAAGAACAGGAAAACATAGCAGGGGCTCTGAGTTTTACCTTTGCATAACAATGAACGTATTGACCATGTATTCCTCTTCATTTTTAGTTTTTTGCAGCTCTTCAGCCAGAATGTCACTCATGGTGCACTGCAGAAGGTAGGGCACCTCCACATTGCGGTCCCCATCAAACACACCGTACAGGGCTTCCCGATTGTCACAGAAGTTATTCACCGACAGGGCTGCAACACATAACCTGCAAGGCAAGAACATTTCTGTGCCAAGTCTGCTCAGCTTGCCTGTTCCCTGCCCAGCCCAACTCTGTTTTGCCTATCTCGGTGCTGTCTCTGTCTTCATGGTTGCAGACATGGTAAACTAAGCAGAGAATAGGTAAACTGAGCCCAGCTAATTTGTACCAGCCAATCTCTAAGAGCAAAGAATAGGCATACATGCTGTGCTTTGCACATGCTTTCCTCCACCCTTCTCTTCTAATGAGTTTATTTTTAAATGGCAGTGAAGGAGGGGAATAAGAGACATGGGAAAGAACAGATTTCCATACAAAATTATGAATCCATACCTACACATTAATTCAATAAAGAGTTATTAAGGAGAACCTCCACATCTGGCCCAAATAGACTGACAACTATAACACTGGGAAAAAGACATGAAACATATATGAGGAGTATGTAAAAATATATGAAAAGCCTCAAACAAATTTTTTAAAAGGCAGAAAAAAATATAAAACAAAAACAGGAAAACAACAAGTGTTCAGACACCGGACAATAAGCAGCGCAGGATGACAGTCCCTGGGAGAGCCTGATACTCGGCCGCTCCCTGTTGAGGAAAAGGTCCAGGCTGCAGCAGAGGGGCGTCTGCCTGCGCAGGGGAGATGGAGCTGAGCGCGCACAGCAGAGCACAGGTGCCGAGAGCGGCGCTGGCAAGGGCCCGAGTCGCAGAGACTCTCCCTGCCCCACCTCCAAAGAATCAAACTATTTCCACATACTTAACTCTGTCCCAGAAACTATCCAAAATGAAACAAAGAGAGAAAAAAAAGACTGGAAAAAAAAGCCAGGGTATTAGCAAGTGGTGGGATAACTTCAAGTAGCCTGATATACAGGGGATCGGACTCTTTAAAGAGGAGAGAGGGACAACTAACTGCTAGAGAAACGTGAACAAAACCTAACTGAGGCACATCAAAATCAAATTGCTAAAAACCAGGAGCCAAGGTGGGAGGGTGAGGGCACAAGGACATGAATGACAGCAGACTGCTCACTGGAAACCCCGCCAAGACAGTGGAGCAACATCTTTAAAGTAATGATGGAAAAAACTAGAAAAAAACCTAGATTTCAAAACCAGTAAAAATACCTTTGAAAAGTTAAGTTGAAATAAAGACATTTTTATATGCACAAATACAAGAATTTACCACCAGAAGACTCACACTATAAGAAATGTAAAAGGAAATGAGGCAGAAGAAAACTATACCAGATGGAAAGCCGGATCTGCACAAAAGAATGAAGAACACAGAAATGACAAATAGGTGAGTAAGAATAAAAATGTTCTTCTTTTAAAAATCACTTTAGAATTGTAGTTTTGCCCACAAGAGACATTTTCACTCTCAGGATCGAGGGGCGGCACCACCAGCACCTAGAGGGTAGAGGCTGCGTGGGAATGCTGCTAGACATCCCACGATGCACATGACCACCATTCCCACGGCCACCACCAACACAGAATTATCTGGCTCAAAATGTCAATAGTGCTGAAATTGAGAAACATTGCTTTAGAAAATAACTCACTAAAATAAAAATAGTAACAATGAATTTTGGAGTTTATACAAATGTAGAAGTAAAACATGACAACAACAGCACAAAGACCAGAATAGGAGAAGCAGAAGTACATATTTATAAGGTTCTTATATGTAAAGTGACATATTACTTAAAGATAAATCATAACAAGTTAATGATTATACTATAAGCCCTCAACAAACCACAAAGTAGAACTAATGACTAAAAAAGATAAAATCAAACCATAAAAAAAAAAAAAAAATACTCAATCCTGCCGGGCGCAGTGGCACACGCCTGTAATCCTAGCACTCTGGGAGGCCGAGGCGGGCAGATTACTCGAGGTCAGGAGTTTGAAACCAGCCTTAGCAAGAGCTAGACCCTGTCTCTACTATAAATAGAAAGAATTAATTGACCAACTCATATATATAGAAAAAATTAGCCGGGCATGGTGGCGTGTGCCTGTAGTCCCAGCTACTTGGGAGGCTGAGGCAGGAGGATCACTTGAGCCCAGGAGTTTGAGGTTGCTGTGAGCTAGGCTGACGCCATGGCACTCACTCTAACCAGGGCAACAAAGCAAGACTCTGTCTTAAAAAAAAAAAAAACACAACTCAATCCAAAAGAATAAAAAAAAAGATGAAAAATAAGATAAAGAACAGATGACAGAAATAGAAAACAACAGTAAGTTGGAAGGTTTAAACCTAACCATCTCAATAATTTCATTAAATATAAGTGGTCTAAACCCTACCCCAAAAGACAGAAAATTCAGATTGAATAAAAAATGCAAGGCCTAATTATATGTTGCCTATAGGAAATCCATTTTAAATATAAGGAGACAAATAGTTTAAAAGTAAAAAAGGTGTACCATGCTAACACTAATCAAAAGCAAGCTGGAGTGGCTATGTTAATATCAGACAACGTATATTTCAGAATAAAGACTATTACAGGAATAAACAGAATGATACATAATGAAAAAACTGACAGTTCATCAAGAGGCCTTAACATTCTAAATGTTTACACACTTAAATAAGAGAACTTCAAAATACAGGAAGTAAAAACTGAGAGGACTACAAGGAGAAACAGACAAAAGAGACATTTAAAGTCTCTCAATCAGAACAAATAGCAGAAAATCAGAAGGAATAGTTAACACTTGAGCAACATTATCAATCAACTTGATCTGATACCCTACCCCAATAGCAGTCATTTTTTCCAAACGCACATAGAACTTTTAACACAATAGGTCATATTCTGGGCTAAAAAATGAGTCTCAGTAAACTTAAAGGATTCAAGTCATACAAAGTATGTTCTTCAACCATATTAAAGAAATTGCTCAGAAGGAAATTTATAATTCTAAATACTTATATTATAAAATTAGAGAGTCTCAAATCAATGATCTAAGCTTCCACCTTAAGAAACTAGAAAAACAAGTACAAAACAAACCTGAAGCAAGCAGAAAGAAAATCATAAAAATAAGAAAAGTGAATGAAACAGAAAAATGATACAGAAAACTCAATGGAACTAAAATTTGGTTCTTTGAGAATATAAATAAAATTGAATAACCAAACCAAATTGATCAGGAAAAAAACCACATACACACAAGTTACCAATACCAGGAATGAGAGAGGAGAAGAATATCACTACAGATCCTATAGATATTAAAAGTGTAATAATGGAATATTAGAAACAAGTTTATACCAATAAATTTGAAAACTAGACGAAGTGGACAAATTTCTTGAAAGACACAAATTGCCAAAGTTCATTCAAGAAGAAAGAGATAATTCTATATTAAAGTAATTGTATGTTTAAAGACCAAAGAAAATTCCAGGCCCAGATGGCTTTACTGGTGAATTATTCTAAATGGTTAAGGAAGATATAGTATCAATTCTATACAAACTCTTCCAGAAAACTCAAGAAGAGGAAATACTCCCCAACTCATTGTATGAGGTCGGCGTTACCCTGATACCAAAACCTGACAAAGATATCACGAGAAAACCACAGTGTATATACAGTGGGAATATACACACCCACAACAAATTACTAACAAATAGAATCCATCTGTGTATAAAGAGGACACTATATCGTGACCAAGTGGAGTTTATATTGGCAATGCAAGGCTGATTCAACATTTTAAAATCAGTCAATGTAATCCACTATATATTAACAGACTAAAGAAGAAAAAACATATAATCATCTCAATTGATGACAAAATTTGATATCCATTTATTGTAAAAACTCTTAGAAAACTAGGTATATTAGAGAATTTTCTTAATTTGATAAAGGATATCTACAAAAATATCTCTAGCTAACATCATGTATAATTGTGAATGAATTAATTCTATATGGATGGTAAATATTAGGTCATTAAATATAAAATGTCCGATTTCAAATCAAAAGTGTAGTTTATCATATCTCAAAGAAGCAGTACAATTAATCAATTAATCAAAGTATGCGCCTAAACTATTGACACAGTTTTGCCGTCTTAACAGTAACTTGTTTATGCCAGCAGTGAAGAAACCTAGAGAGCAAGTGGTGATAAAATCATGAAAGTAATTTTCCATAGCTTGCTGAGAACTGAATATTTTTCCCTGCAAGAAGTGGTCCAAAGCCTGGAAGAAGGGGTAGTCAGTTGGTGCAAAGTCTGCTGAATATGGTGGATGACAGAGTTTCCAAGTCCAACTACCGTAGTTTGAGCAGCATTGTTTATGGGACATGTGGTCAAATGGTGTTTTGCAAGAGGATTGGCCTGTCTCTATTGACCAATCTTGGCTACTTAATTGCAAGCATTCTCATCATTTTATCCAATTGGTTGCAGTAGACATCCGCTGTAATGGATTGACCAGGTTTCATGAGGCTTAGTGGATGACACCAGCACTGGACCACCAAACAGACACCATTAGCTTTTTTTGATGAATATTTGGTTTTGGACTGTGTTTCAGCACTTCATCTTTATCCAAACATTGTGCCAAATGCTTGTGATTATCAAAAATAATCCATTTTTCATCACATATAACAATATGGTATAGAAATGGTTCACCTTTATGTCATGACAGCAAAGAAAGGCAAGCTCAGAGACCATTTCTCTTCTGATGTTTGTTTAATTCATGCAGAACCCATCTATCCAGCTTCTTTGCCCTGCTGATTTGTTTCAAATGGTCCAATAGTGTTAGGATAGTAATGTCAAACCTCGCTGCTAATTCATGCATACGTTGAGATGGATTCACTTCCACTACAGCTTTCAGCTCATCATTATCGACCTTGGTCTCAGGTCGGCCACGTGACTCATTTTCAGTATTAAAATCACCGGAATGGAACTTCTCAAACCATCAATGTACTGTGTGTTCCTCAGCCACATCCTTTCCAAACACTTTGTTACTATTTTGAGCTTTCTGTGCTGCATTATTTCCATGACAGAACTCATATTAAAAAATAACATGTATTTTTGACTTATCCACGGTTTCACAAAAATTGCTCTAAAAAATGTGAAAGATAATCACAAGCCAAAATTTGCATTTTAAAGACTGAGCATGTACCTTCACAATAAAAATAAAACGAGAAGTGTTAAAGTGAAATGTCAGAGATATCAACTAGTACTTAAGGAAATCGGACATTTCATACTTAATAACCTAGTACGTACATGGAAAGATGCTCAGCATCATTAGTCATTAGGGAAATGTAAATTAAAACTGCAATGAGGTGTTAATATTAAAATAGCCAAAACAACAACAAACTGACAATAACAAGTACTGGTAAGGATGTGGGGTTACTGAAACTCTTATGCATTGCTGCTGGGAGTACAAAATAGTATGGACACCTTGGAAAAGTTTAGCAGCTTCTTATAAAAGTAAATACACACTTACCATATGACCCAGCAATGCCACCCCTAGGCATTTACCAAGAAACGAAAACAAACATTTATACAAAAACCTGTATGTAATTGTCTGCAATCTGTAGCATTTTTATTCTTAATAGCTAAACACTTGAAACAATCTAAATATCCTTCAAATGGCAAATGGATAAAATAAAGCATAATACATCCATGCAATCCATGAATCCTACTCAGCAATAAAGATCAATAAAAATTAACAACTACTGACATATGCAACAATACAAATGAATCTCAAATGCATTATGCTAAGCGAAAGAAGTCAGACTGAGAAGGTTATATACTGTATAATTCCATTTGTGACATTCTGGAAAAGGCAAACTTAATGGGATAAAAAATAGATCAGAAACTGCCAGAAACTGAGGGTGGGGAGAAATGACAAAAAAAGGGCATGGGTGAATTTTGGGGGATGATGGAACTGCTCTATAACTTGATTGTGTGGTGGTTACATGATGATATTCTTTCATCAAAACCTGCAGATCTACCTACCTACCTATCCCTATCTATCTTTCCATCCATCCCTCCCTTCCTTTCTCCCTCCCCATCCACTTTCCTGCTATATAGGGTACTTCCCTACCTCCAAAACTGTGAGAAATAAATGTCTGCTGTTTAACATATTAACTTCCATGAGAACTGTATTTAACTTACTCTAGTTTTGACGCTGGGGCTGCCTGAAGCATATAGAAAATCCTACTTACTGGTGTTCTTATTGTTATAATTAATATTGACAATTCAATTCTAAAAACATGGATTAAATGAATAGACGTTAATACAGTTTGTTTTTCTATTTATGTTTACCTTTAAATTACACTTGAAGTTTTTATTCTATTTTTGTAATAAAACACTGTGGCCCCAAGGAAAAGTTTCTGATTTGTTTGTGTGGCAGTAAATGTGTTAAAAAAACAAAACAACTTGTAGAACTGCACACTAAAAAGGGTGAAGTTTACTGAATACAGATAACTTCTTACTGCATATAAATTAATAAAAAGAAAAAATCTATTAAGCATTTGCGATGTATTATGGCTAGATACCAGAGAAATAAAAATATAATCCCTGCCCTTAAGGAGTTCAGGGATAAATAACAGTAATAACCATTATCATTAATAATAATAGTAGATAGCACTTAAATAGGGTTTATGGTACACATTGTTCTGCCTATGTTACATGAGGATAGGCAGTATTTTTTTCACATTTTTACAGAGGAGGAAATTAAGCTAAATAGAGACTGAAAAACTGCCCCTGGTCACATAGCAGTAAGTATAGAGCTCAGATTCAAAGCCAGGCAGTCTGGCTCTTATCTTAGTACTTTGAAATTCTTGCCTCCATTTACTAAGAAAAACAAGTCATCCAGAATTATATGGCAATGTATAGCAAAGTTAAATTTTATAATCATCCTAAAATTGTCTTTCTTCTGTAAGATTCCCTTGCTAGTCAGAAGGAAGTAGTGTGAAGGAGAGAAAAATGTACAGTAATGTGTATGTGATTTTTTTTAAAAAAAGTAGAGTAGTGATCACTTTTAGGATTTATTTCTGCTGAAGTTTCCTGTTTTTGTCTTTTTTTTTTTTTGTCTAAGGAAGAGCATAGATTATCAAATTGCAGCTCCTTTCTTGGGTTTCCCTAAAAGATCTGAAATGACCTGATAGGGAGGCAACATTGCACCCCAGGGAAAAGGACGGAGAGAGAGACGAGAATAGACATCTATTGAGATTTGGAGGAACGGACAACTGCAGTTCTCCCCTTCCTTCAAGATAGCAAGTAGCATGCTCTTTGTTTCAATGACCACTTTTTCTACAATGCAAACAAGAACAAACACCAAAAAATAAAAATAAACACTTGAGAAACTTTTACTGGCAAAATCAAAGGGTATAAAAGCAAAGGGAAATAGAAACTGAGGGCCAGGGGTGGCCTGGGAAGACTGGGGTGCTGTTCATCATTTGTGGATCCAGGTGGTGGTCTGCAGGGGTGTTCACTTCAGAACAATTCACAGAAGTCGTATACCTCTCTATGCACTTTTCTGTACCTATGTTACACTTTAATAACAAGAGTTTTTAAAAAAGTAATTGTGGAAGAGGAAATTATGGAAAAACAAAACGAAACAAAAAAACCCCACAAAACCCAGATCTAATTGGCTACTTCTTTATTTAGTATGGTATAAGTAGATAATAAATTCTAATATCTAGAGAACTTAAAAACCAATCTTAGATTTCACATCAGTGTTCTGGAAAATTAAAAAGCAATTTCACATACTGGTGTTTATAAACAAGACATAAGGTCCTTTGACCTAAAAAGTGATTATCTCCAGAAAGAAACTCTGAGTGCTTTGAGGAAGATGTTAACTCCCCCTGCCCTGATATAATGACATACAGTGCAAAGCATATGGAAGAAATAGGGCGATAACTGGAGAACAGGCAGAACTGAGGCAGGCCTCCTCTGGTTATTCTGCCTTTATTGAGCAAATGGAACAGAGGTGTTGAAATGGGGGCTACTCCTTCTCTAGCTAGCACAAGGCCAAATTACACCTCAGAGAAAGAGGAGAAGATTCATGTGTCAGATCCAGACTTGAGCTGATGCTGGCTTTTGTCCCAAAGAAAACCAGTCAGCATGGCAGCAATGACGCCACCTTTATTTTCCATGAAGGGTCTCAGCCAGTCAGTGGTTCTCAGTCCTAGATACATATTAGAGTCACCTGGGGGAGATTTTAAAACATTCTGATTCAATGGGTCTAGGTTTGGGGATTTTTAAAAAAAATTTCCTTACCTAATTCTGATGTGCACCCAGGGTTGAATACTAATGTTAGCTATTATTAGATCTTCCTCTACTTTCTGTTCTTCCCCTACTCTCAATACTGTGTTCTTATACCTTAGCTAATTACATTATGACTCTTCTAATTTATAGGATTCTTTACCTTTCTAGTACTAATTATGAGCACCTCTTCATACAATGCAAGCAAGCCTGAAATGCTTGATTACATTTCTCAGGAAAATCAACATTTATATCTAAGGAAGGGACGGCTGGTGAAACTAGGGAAGAAAAACAAATTAAAATGGACAAGTCCTGGTGGCAAGACAAGCAGATGACATTACAGGGAATGGACATCAAACTCCTACCAAGCTAATTTATATTGTAAAATTAGCTCCACAGTCAATAACATGAGTGATCTTGAATACAGACAATCAAAGCTACTTCTCCTTTAATACTATCCCTGTTATGCTTGGTAAACAGGCTTCAGAGAAAGGGGCTTTTCAAAGGAGCAGGGATGCATTTCAATACTTAGGCCTTCTCCAAACACTGGAGTCTTACATAGATATAACGTGTCAGTTACATTGTATCCTAGCAACGTCTCTCACAAAGGGAGTTTATATGATGCCAAACAGGGCCTTAGCTGAATGTTCAAACATAAGTCATAAAGGATCCTTCCTCACTTTGGGGAAACATCCTCAAAGAAATTTTACATGAGCAAAATGTGTGCTATAGCACTGGGTTTCTTTCTATACCATTAAAGAAGTGAGGCAGGCAGGAGGCAGTTCTTGCTCCAAAGTTTCATCTGACTTACTTATTTTTCACCCCTGAAGCTTCGGTGTAACCGTGACTCCATACAGCCGGAGCTCCGGATGTGTCTCCTGCCGAAGGCTGATCAATCTTGAAACAGCGGATATTACTAACAAGAGAAACAGGGAGGGAACAGGAATCATTAAAACTAAACATGTGCAAATTGCTACCTTTATCTGAGAAATGAAAAACACCTGCGAAGCATGCTGTACTTATCATTTCTTACTGCGTTTAATGTGAGTGAAATATTTATCAGCAACAAGAACCAGCTACTATCATAATGAAAACCAAGGGGCATATACACAGAGCGTGAAAATTAGTTTTTATGAGCACCTAGTGAAGGCTTTCACACACTCCACACTAGATGGCTGCTCTCTTCTGGGAATGAAAACGACAGCTCTCAGCCTTGGCATCAGAAAACAAAACTTAAGTATTGCATTGGGTGTATTCTTACACCATTAACATCCAGACTCGAAAAGAACAAAGCCTAAGCCACAATTATATTGTGTTCAGGTGATGTGAGAGAATTCTACAATATTCATCTCCAAATCCAATTTCTACCCACATAACCCCTTCGACTATTTAACTAATATTATCAATGACTTGCCATTCCCTAGAACTTTCAATTCTTTCCTCATGTGGATAGCCACTTATGCTGAGACCATAAAATAAAATGTATATGTAAAATTATAAAGTTAATGAGGGGTATTTTAATAAATCACAAGTTAACTACTTGTATTTAAACTGGGAGATTTAAGTTCTTATCTCACCTCAGCTCGCATATGCCATAACTGGTCCCAACAGGACCCAAAACAGAAATATTAAAAGGATAAACTCTCAAATGGGGTTTCTTAAAAATCAGCCTACCAGAAACCATTTAGTGCCCCCAAACAGGAAGTCATAACAGATGTAAAGGAGTCTGTTAAAAAGCTGGCTACCACATGGTAAAATAAATTCTGCTTACTTGTAAATTTTTAGTTAAGTACCACACCATTATTTAAACGAAAAAAATACATATGTATCATCTCTTGACAACACAACACCTACTTTTGTTATGACCACAAGAACTTAAGAAATACTATTAATATACATCCTTCCCAGAAACCAGTTAAAACTCAAAGAAGTAAATCAGTATCTAACTAGTATTCAATTTGATTCTAGAAATAACTTGCAGCAATTTCTCTGAAATTTAAAAATATTTGGTTAAAGAAATGTTTCTATTCTTAGTTACTAGCAAACATTCACTTTCCCTCATATCCTAAAAAAGCTGAAAAACATATAAATCATAGATAGTGTAAATAAAAAATCCCCAAATCAAGTTAATACTTCATTTTACAGTAAGGTCATAGCTATAAATCCTCCCTTTAACATTTTCAATCCTATCAATAAAAGAGAGGCATTAAAAACAAAACAACAACAACAACAAAAAAAAAAACACAGCCCCCAGTATTTGCTTTCCATATGATCTGGTGCTCAATTTTACTCATCTAAAATGGTAAACAGTGCAATGGGCTTAAGTTATACCTTAAGGTTCTTACTACATCTGCTTACTTAAGGTTCTTACTACACTGCTACCTTTCTGAATCCTGGGGAAACGTGAAGGCTCATTTCTAAAGACATTTATGGTATTATAGAAAACAAAATCTTAAAAGAAGTAATTCCATTTCCTAGCCTGATTATTAAAGGAAAAAAATAATCCTTACTCTCCCCCTTCCCAAGTAATCCTTTCTAGTGAAGCAGCAATTTCTCTTCTCTGCCTAGCTGAATACGGTGTGGCTGTGCAGCTCTCTGGAGTGCTCTGAATGTTCACTCTTGTTCATATCTGAGTCTGAAAGAGTCCAGGAGCTGGCACTCGATCCCACATGTACTTACCCCAACTCCCGCAGAGCAAACAAGCTAACCCTCTAAAAGCACAAATAATGGATAGAAACTCTTCTGAGTTATTAAGAACCCACAACCTTCTAGATGCTAAACAGAAGGTAACATTTTTATGTGAGTATTACGATTTCATTGTCTTATACTAATTCTTTTAAAATCTGACAGCATGATGCACATGAGCACAGTTTAGACTGCTGCTGATATGCTACACAACATTCTGAAAATTCAGAAAAGTTTAAAGAAAAGAAAGAACACCCATAATCCCAGTAATCCAGAGAATAACCCTATTTTAACATCTTGTTACACACCCTTTTAGGCATTTTCTAGGTGTGTGCATGCACATGCACGCACACATGCCCAAATGCACACTAATTTAATTTGCAAAAAATGGCATTGTACTGTACAGATTCCTCTGTAAATTTTCTTTTCACTTAATATTATACTGCAGAGCTCTTTCAAGTTAGTAATATAGTTCTACATCATCATTTTTCATGGATACACAATATTCAATTGTGGAGCATAATTTATTTAATTCTACTAATAGACATTTAGAGTTCTGTGATGAACATTCTTAGAAAGACATCTTTCCTACTGAGGTAACCTTTAATGTTTTACATAGCAAACTTCAACCTGTAACTCTTTATCAATACCAAGAAAATGGTATCAATGAACTACTTCCCAAAACACAGAAAGAACATCAGCAGGATCTAACTACTCCACAGTCCTACGTTTACATCATCTATCTCTTTCAAAATCCTTTCTTAACATTTGTATTAAGTGGCACAACCATGTTGTCAGTCTCAGTAACTGCTGAGAATTAAGTTTGCATCTTGGCTGTTCCCTGATCTCCCTGTGTCTTCTACATCCTGTATATGTGCAGATGCAGACAATGAGTCAACAATGTTCCATATTTTCTGTTTCATTTTTTAATAAATTACAAATCCCACTGCCAGTGAACCATGACAGGGCTACAATGCTTTACAAAATACTTACTTCAGTAGTTCCAGGGTTTTGTGATCAAGAACGAGGCGAGGGTTTCCAGTCAGGTCTAGCTCTTGCAGTTTGGGAGGCAGGTTTTCTGGTAAAGTGACTTCGCTTAGCTCATTACAGCTCAAGTCCACACACTGAAAGAACAAGTGCAAACAAGAAAGAGATGGTCTAGAAAATTCTTCAGGTAGTTTTGTACTCCTACACTTTGCAGGCAAATCAGTCCAACTATTCACTGTAATATAGTGGTCAAATGCAGGGAAAAAAAGACTACTGCTTTGCCATAAACCTTTAAAACAGATTTCACTAAATGCAGTACAATTTTTTACTTTCTTGAGTAACAGAGAAAATCTATGTTCTTTATTCTCCCTACTTTTTCCATTAAGTTTATCTCTATATTGAACATTAAGCAGTTTAACTGAAAAATCCTAAGAATGGGAGTTTTTCTTATTGCTCACAAAATCTCTGTGCCTGTTGTGGTCATGAGAGCCATAGCTCAAACATTAAAATGAACAGAGAGGGACTTTCTTAAAATGAAAAGCAAACAAAAAAACATGCAAAGTGAGGAAAAGGCAGGGAACACACACCCAAAATGAGAAGATACTTCAAAAGGAGCTAAATAAGAAGTTGGTAAAGGCCGGCGCGGTGGCTCACGCCTGTAATCCTAGCTCTCTGGGAGGCCGAGGCGGGCGGATTGCTCAGGTCAGGAGTTCGAAACCAGCCTGAACAAGAGAGAGACCCCATCTCTTCTATAAATAGAAAGAAATTAATTGGCCAACTAATATATATAGAAAAAATTACGGCGCATGGTGGCGCATGCCTGTAGTCCCAGCTACTCGGGAGGCTGAGGCAGGAGGATCGCTTGAGTCCAGGAGTTTGAGGTTGCTGTGAGCTAGGCTAACGCATGACACATCTCATCTAAGCTAAGGTAGGCCAGTGGAGACTCTGTCTCAAAAAAAAAAAAAAAAGTTGGTAAAAGACAGCAGGTGGGCCTGCCTACTATAGGCAAGAAAAAAAAAAAAAAGGCTGAGCCAGGCGTGGCTCCTGCCCTCAAGGCATTAACATCTGGACTCTCCAACAGGTCCTGCCTAATTTAGCTTGAGAAACAACCACAAAAGGGTCATCCTGTTGATTAGAACAAAAATTATAAGTTAGTTCTAAATGGGAGTAATACCTCCTCTCTCACAAAATTGATTAAGGCTTAAATGAGGCAAACTCTAAAAAGAGGTGCTGCTCTTGTGGTTGGGGAGCAGGGAACTGGGTAGAGAAGGCTCACCACGCACAAAAGAAAACGAGTGACTGGCCAGTGCTGTGGACTCTACGATTAGATAGAATGGGGTGGAAGCTTTCAATTATCTGGCTTGAGTTAGCACCTTATTATAATTTTTTAAAATGCTTAAAAAGCCTATTAAAAGGGGAATCGTATTCAAGAATGTCAGGATCTTAGAAGTGGACAAAAATCTTCATTTTATTTGGAAAAATTCTTAAAGTATTTATTAGGCATTGGGGAGGGGTAGAGATTGGGTAAAATGAAAATCTGTACTTCTGGAGAAATATATTTTCTACAGACTTCAAACAACACAATGCTTCCACATAAAATGTTCCGTACTGTTGCTTCCAAGTAGTAGCAATGATATACAATTATATTGCCATTTTAAATAATTACAGTTTATTATGAGAACATGATAACCACACTGCCCAAAAAAATGTTGGGCAAACATAAAACCTCAGAAAACTTACCCTTAAATCTACCACCCTAATACAACCAGTGTTAGCATTCTGAGGCTTTTTTTTCCTTGTAACCTTATCACTGCTATTAAAAAAAGAACTTCAAAAATCATAAATGTAGGTACAATTTCATTACATTTCATTTACTCTTCTATCACACTTACTCTTCTACCATTTTTCCACGTTCATTCCCATCGCTGTGGTCCGAATGTTGCATCTCACCAAAATTCATATGTTAAAACTTAATCCCCAATGTGACAGTATTAAGAAGGGGTCCTTTGGGAGATGATTAGGTCCTGAGGGCTTTACACTCATGAATGGAATTAGTAGTGCCCTTATAAAAGAGGCCCAGTGGAGCTTGTTCACTCCTTCTGTAAGGTGAGAACACATAAAGGTACCATCTGCGAGGAATGGGCCCTCGCCAGGCCAAATCTGCTGGCACCTTGATCTTGGACTTCCTAGCTTCCAGAACTGTGAGCAATGTATTTCTGTTGTTCACACATTACCCAGTCTATGGTATTTTGTTACAGCAGCCTGAATGGCCTACGACACTATCACCTTTAATAGCTCCATACTACTTCTAGTAGGTGTACATTAATTCACTTCACCTAAGCAGTAATAACAGAGAAGAGGTCATCTCCTTTTTGGTTTGTGTTTCAATTACAAATAATGGTTGCCATGAACAGTCTACCAGACTTTAAGGAAAAACTGTGATAATACTGCCTAATAATGGGTCGTGCTGCCAGCACAGTCAGTACATATCAGCATAGGAAGACCATCCACTGCGGGTAGAATGGCTTGAGGTCTATGGGGATAAATACAATCTACTGGATAGTGATGCAGGATGAGCTAAAGGACCGATAAGTGTGGGTAATTTAGAACATAAGTCATTGACAGAAACAAATTCAGGGGGCAGAGAATGCCTTTGGTGAAGAATTAAAGACATTCTACAGCAATACTGAATTTTATAAAATTGATAGAAACTTTTTATAAGATGTTACCTAAAGATGTAAACTTTCAGATTTCTATAGATATAAAGCAGCTCATTCTGTAAATTACCAAAGTGTGAAATGAGTTCAGCAGGGTAATTATGTACGAAGGAAATGCTGTAGGTCATAATGTAGATCTTAGAGATGATGCTTCCAGGCCACCAGCCCAGGCCGTTGGGTCTCCAAGGCTTCTCCGACTGAGTGTTTGATTCACTTAGCCAGGTCCCTTTCATGGAGTGCTGCTACCCTGGCCCACACTCCGGCCTGACCTGCACCCCACCCCCAGGCTCTGGCTATACTGTAACGCTGCTTTGGGTGTCACTTCACTACATGCATTCCTCCATCAGGGTGGTTTCTCTACTGTGGTTTATTCCATCTGCTCACACTCCAGCTACAGTCCCTCTGCTGCTCCCAACTGACCTTCAACTGCCACTGAACTCCTCAGGATGTCCAAATAAAGCCCTTCCTCCCTGCTTTCCCCACCCGATTCCTCACACTGTCAGAGTCATCACAGCTCCTGCAGGGGCTACGCTCTCGTTTGTCTGTGTGCCTCTGCATGTACTACTTACTCTCTGTGCTTGTAACTCTCTGAAGTGTTTCTTGCCTTTTACCTGGTATAATCTGCCTTATTCATTTTAAGACTGAACTCAATGCCAACTCTACTACAACTTCTGTTTCAATTAGAAGTCCCTTGCTATAATTATCTGCTTATTTATTTCTTCTATCTACTAGACTATGACCTCCTAGAGAGCAGAGATTGCTTCTCCCTTTACATGCTAAGTGCAGTGCATCAGAAACAGCAGATGCTCGGTAAGTGCTTTCATTAAAAGGGTGAACAAATGAACAACGGAATTGTCTGGCATGTTGTAGACAATTATTTGTTGAATGAATAAATGAAGGAATCTTGTAAGGTCCTTCAGTAATTAAATCTGCTAGGATGGGAACTGAAATACAAGTGCTTAGGTTAAGTTCAGCCTAGAGTAAACAGCATTGTAGTGCAATTCTGATATATTTTGAATGTCAGTGTTTATTTCTACACGAGAATGCAACTATTTTCTTTAATGGCAGATAAGCAGAGAAACACCCTTTTATACTTCTGCACGTTGGAGGCAGTTTGTTCATAAAAACTGTAAGAGGTGGAAAAATAATTATAGGAAGTTGGTATCTGGTGCCGCTCTACTGATGTTAACACGGTGAATGACGCACAAGTACCATTTCATATTTTTTTAATGGTCCTCAACACTGGTTACTGCTGAGACACTTAACAAACACTTGTTGGCTGAATAATTATAAAGGCTACCACTCAGAGAACAGAAAATATTTGAGTAAGACTGGAGGAAAAAAAATAGTATCAACATATTCTATTTTGTTAATGAAAGTAACTTTGTTTAATGCACTATAATTTTCTTAAAAATGCACTGTTAAATAGAATGTTAAATCTGGCTAAAAGATGACTAACATAAAATTACCTTTCCCCCTTTCAGGTCCATTCTGCAATGCAGCTAACAAAAATTACTTTGTTATAATAAAAATTCTGGTAAGAATACCCAAAACAGAAAATCCAATCTCCAGAAAAAGTGAGATAACTCATAGCTGAGAAAAAAACTCATGATTTAGAAGAAAACTACTACAAATACATTTAGATAGGAGCATATAAAAATAATCCGTCTATCTCAGAGAAAAAGGAATACAATTTGATGTATACTATAAGTGTAATTCTCACAAAAGCTTCATGGAACATATCTTTGTTTTCTCATAAAACATTACCAGAGAAATAGGCATATTAATTTTCATAGCAATGTATTATATATCATCTGCTAAACAGTTGACTATATTGCCCTGAAATGGCAACTAGCTCCTAGAGATTCTGCAACACCTTGCTTGCTTTCCTCCTTCCTTCAGACTCCACTAGTCCACCACCTCAACTGTGCTCCCCAACACAAATGGGGCTCCCAGCCACAGTCTGCACTTCCTTGGCCTTACAAGGTAAAAGCTGCTGGTGTATAACATATTTCCACACTGAACAGTCTCACTAATTTTCATTCTGAATTCATAAGCAAATAAATTCAAGTATTCACTCAAAAGAACACGTATTAAAGCACCTATAAATTGGCAGGCAATAAGGCAGATATCAGGGAACTACAGAGGCAGCAGACACAGTCCCTGCCCTCGAGGAACCCTCAGGCTAGTGGGAGAAGTAAATAATACAACCTTTAGCTGCTATGATCGATGGTATGGAAGAACTGTGCATGGCTTATGAGAGCACAGGGACAGATACTAAGACCCAAAAGAGAAGATTTTTGTATAGAATCAAAGTTAATCAGGCATGTGAGAACAGGAGAGCTAGCAGCACATACACCAGGAAGGAGACGAGAACAATGTATGTGTGGTATGCCAGGAGATCACTATGAGTAGTTGGT